TTCATTATATTGGGGTGGTGAGGTTGTGATGGAGAATAACTCCGTGGGCTACAGTTTACCTGCTAAGTGTCATGTTAAATTGCCACTGACAATGGAGTACGATACATTGATATCGTTGTTATGCAAAAAAATGAGTGTGAGGAAACGTTCGGTGATATTTAAAGTAACCGGAAGATATCCTTATTCCGTCATTCCGCAAGGNCTCTTTTGTGAAGTCAAATGTTGGAACAAGTTTGATTATAGATGATTCCCTTGCCGGGATCAAATAATATGCATTATTATAAAAGTTTCAACTTAAAATAAATCGAAATACCTCGATTTAGAATTTTCGGAAAGCAAATAGATCGAAAAATTTGACTCCGAAAGCGTGAATCAACAATAACAAGAAGCTCTACTCGAGTGTGGGACCTACGTTCTTCAAGTTTTATGTGCTGGGGGGACCCAAATTATTTTTTTTTTTTTTAGTGGCGGACAGAGGGGGGGGACCAATTTTAGGAAGGGGGATTAGAATAATGGAGGAAGAAGACGGGGGAAGAAGAAGATGGAGGGTTTTTTGGGGAGGGATATAACGCTACTATTTCTGGCGCTATATCACTGTCAGTGTATAACGCCAGAAATAGTGGCGCTATATCACTCTGACAGTGTATAACGCCAGAAATAATGGCGCTATATATTAACGGTGCTGTTACCGTTAATATATAGCGTCACTATTCCTGGCGCTATATATATTTTTGTTACCTTTTTTTCTTTACATCTATTTATGTGTTTTGAGTCCAAAATAGCAACATTTTGGTTTCGGACTCTGTTTATCTCTAACTAGTAGGGTATGGCCCGTGCTGAGCCCGGGCCCGAACATAATAAGTTAGGAATTTGTATCCTCTTTGTTATTATAGTCTACTAAGATTAATTGGTGGAGTTGAGATGCATGAGTTTCAAGCTAACAACCTACTATTTGAGATACAATCCCTAGCAGCAATATTACAAGTCAATATTTATTAGTAGTTCATTGAAAAGATCTTTAGAAGTTGGACATGTAGGCTTTTTTCGACATTTATTATTGAATACGGATTATTTTAGGACATGTAAAAATGACAAAATTGGATAAAGATTTTATGCTCCTCTTTTCATTACTGAAAATGAATTTTGAAGAGATCCCAATCAAATCGAGTGCCAAAAATATTTTCTTAGAAAAGGTGAAACAAAACATGTAACTCAAAATTAATCAAAATCAACAAATTTTATTAGTCGGATCAGATGATTAGTATTGACACTATTCCGTGGCGGACGCACGTGGTGGCAAACAGGTTCAACTAAACTCGCTTCATCAAAAAATAATATTGTATATATGTATAAATTACGATTAAAGCTGCGTAAATTTTGTATAAATATTTTATTTGAACCCACTTGACAACTATTATTGTACGACTAAAGTTATGCATTTCTAAGATTGAACCCGCTTGCACAAAATCCTAGGCCCGCCACTGATACTACCACACATCAAAAGCTAACAATACAACAACAAGACGTAGTAATATCTAATAAGATCTACATTCTACCACCTAAATATAAAACAAACCTATACAGAAGCCACAAGGAAACAGTTCACAATAATTAATCTTCTTCTTGATGGCCACCTAAATCTCCTATAGTTCTCTCAAAACCTGCTTCACTTTCCGACCCATTTTCACCTTTCATATAACGAACCTTTTTCCTCAATTCCTCCAACTATTTCTCCATTGTATACATTTTTTCCTTCAAAATCTACTGCCAAATGATTNAGAAAACCTGGCGTTATATCGTTTTTTTTCCTGAACCAAGTATTATTTAGAGTACAATAATTCAAAATAATATAGCGCCAACTTATTTGGCGCTATATATGTAAAAAAGAAAAACTTCCCGGCTCCCCATTTTCTATATAAAGAGGTTAGAATCGCATAGAAATGCATTCAAAATTTTTTTTAACTCTTGACGTCTGTTGTTGTTAAATTCTCCAGCATTTTTTTATAATGTCTGAAGAGCGTAGGATAAGAGTTTCATTATATTGGGGTGGTGAGGTTGTGATGGAGAATAACTCCGTGGGCTACAGTTTACCTGCTAAGTGTCATGTTAAATTGCTACTGACAATGGAGTACGATACATTGATATCGTTGTTATGCAAAAAAATGAGTGTGAGGAAACGTTCGGTGATATTTAAAGTAACCGGAAGATATCCTTATTCCGTCATTCCGCAAGGGGTTGCTTTTACTCGGAGTTTAACATCGACGATGATGAAACTTTAAGTGATTTTTTGAGGACTCCGGACGAATGTCGGGATTTTCTTGTAATCACAATGTTGGAGATATACGTGAAGGTCGAAGACGTTCCAAAAAATGAGGTTGTGCGTAATAGAGATAACCCCCAGTCATCGGGGGGTTATTCTGGAACAGTTTTTGCCGGACAAGTTCCGGATGAAAGAGTTATCTTTGATTTAAACTTATCACCGCCGGTGAATGAGCAGCGAGAAAATAATTTAAACCCTGCTTTCCATAACTCACAAGACGAGTGGTAAATTTTAATTTTCATTTGTGTTAATTATGTATATATTTGTTGTATTGAATTTGTCTTAACGCTCACATATTTAATAGGGGTTACCGGCCGGATATGAATTTTACAAGTGGCCCATCCGGTAGTCATCACCTAATTGATAACGTCCATCATGAAATTTTATCACATTACGACTAGTAAGTGAAGTGATTTACACAAAATATGAAAATTATTTATTAATTTAGTAGCTTATATTTTTGTTGGTTGTGCAGTGAAAACGAGCAAGTTGAACTCACTCAATTGCCCGAAAATGATGTATTACATCGGGACCTGGCAGATGCACAGAGTCAGGAACAGAACAGTGATTACGATAACAATGCGGATGAATCCGGGGATGAGACACCCTTTGCTCGTGAGGATGGTGATGCAGAGGATGAGGAGGAAGGACCTGATTTGAAGAGAGACCCCCCTAGACGAAGAGTGTATGAGTCCGAAGTGTCGTTTCATTCAAGAGAGATTCCTTACATTGATAACTTGCCAGCCGTGCCGGATGTGGAAGCTCTCACAAGGGATTTTGATGAAATCCGGACAGCAATGTGGGATGAGTCTAGACCACGGTACTTGCAAAGGGGATGCTTTTTCCTGATAAAGCGCGCCTAAGCAGGGCTTGTAAAATGCACAACGTAAAAGAGTGTCATGAGATGCAAGTATGGGAGTCAAGTCCGACGGTATACAAGGTTGTTTGCCGCAGGTGGTTTTGGCCATGTAANGCTTGCCTATTGAGGAAGAAAAATCAACTTTCTAAAATTCTCTCTATGTTTGTTTCCGTGCGCGCGCTGCGGTAGATGTGGGTTGGCTAAGCGGCTTCATTACTCGTGCTTTACTCAACAAACCAAAGCAGCTATTACGCCATTTCCTATAGCAAAACAACTGAAAGAAAAAAAAAATCTAGGATGCGAATTTATAGACAGTGTATCAATAATGAATAATTAAAATTGCATTAGTTGTCATAGACTTCTCTAATCACTTGTAAGTACTTCATCAAATATAATTCTTTTATCATTTTGAAGAGGAAATTCAGATAAAAATAATTTTTTCTTGTATATAAAATTAGACGGCAGAAGCAGCACATTGACTGATTACACATTCTCACCCATCTCCTAAAAACCCCAAAATTGAATATTTACTGCAGTAAATACCAACAAAAAGGCATAAAGAAGCAGTTTAGAAATGCCATTGTTTTCCAAAAAAGAAAGAGTACTCTTGAAGGTGTCTTCCTGTAGTACTGAATATGCTTAGTCAAACCACTCAATATTTATCGGAAATTTCTAGTGATACTACTTGTGCTTGATTTGATTCCTCTATCGGAAGAGCTACATGTCTCAATCTACAGATCCAATCATAGCCTCAAATGAGTTGGTCACGTAACTTAACATTAAGATTCTTGCAAATTTTGTGCTTTTTCTGTTGCGGCACATTTCCAAGGAAGCGTATATTGTCTTTCGCTGTTGCAATCAGCTTTTCAAGACCCCATCACATTGAACCAAAATTATCAAACATATTGCTACTGTTGCATCAACTAAGGTGGCCTCCAACTGGTTGTAGTGTGCCATGTAGATAAATTAGCTACGACAAATATTCATAACAGAGAGACTGTAAATTGCAAATGAAAGTGAATCATGAATTATATCTTGCACACAATAAATGATTCAATTATTGCCGTCATCCTTTTCATCCTCATCGTTTTTCGAGTACGCATATTCACCTTGGCAACTTCGCATGTTATCTCGCAGAATCATTTTTCTCTGAAATGAAACCTATATAAATAATGGGAATATTGTATTTGTAACAACTAAAATAAGGAGACTGATATGATCAAATAGAAATTATAGCTCCTTAACTTTAATTGGTATTCTGTAGCTGTCGGATAGAACATATTACTTAAAGTGATAAACTTACATACGAATCAAATGGAATATATAGAGTTAAGCAAAGAAATTTAAATCAAATATTCTTAAAAAAGGGGATAAGATTCACAACTATTCTTCTGGATCTTATCGTGCATCTTCTACTTTCCGGGTGGAAAAAAATTTCTCTCATAAGAAGGGTACACCGATGAATGCCTCATTGGCTTTGACCTTGCCACCTTTTGTCAAAGTTTATACTCAAAAAAAAAATTGACATCAAATATTAAGAACAGAACACACATTTGCAGAATTAGTTGAAATTAATTTGATCAAAATATCAAAGCTTTTTCACAGTTGAAACTATAGTTAAATCTTAAGTGTTTTTTGTCAACAACAACAACAACAACCTGGTGGGATGTGGGGTCTGGGGAGGGTTGGATGGTCAACTATTTTTGTCAACAACACATTATAGTTGTATTCATTGTAAAATATAATTCTTGATAGCTGCTCAAGATGGAAGACCAATCTCACGTCATAGAATGAGTCATAGTTTCCAATTTCAACCTGTAGAAGAAAACTTTTTCTTGATGATGAATTACAAAAAGGAACTTGTTAACTCTTAATGAAGCAGTATTTGAGGTTATGTAGTTTGTATTCATAGTGCTGAACTATTTTGTATTATGTTGTCTATGAACTAAAATAGAAATAATTATGTGGAGAAGTTGTACCCTTACAGTTCCTGATTCGATAGCAGCTAGGAATGCTGCGGGATCCACAGAAGAATTACAAGCCTGCGAGTTTGTCGCATCAGATTTAAGCTGATAGATATATTTACACTGACAGTGCTTGAGATACCCTTATAGTTTTTTTACTACTGAGTCGTATATTAAACACATTGACGATTTAAATGCATACAAGGGTGAATCTTTTAGACTGATGAGCTCAAAGCACTTTGTACAAGGAAGATATCATGCCAAATTGTTATCATCTGTGGATGGTATGATTTGTAGAAGTAGCAAAGGACCAACCAATATACATGATTCAACCCACAGAATGTTCAGAGATATGGGCCTGACATGGATATTTTTACAGAATGCACTAAATTTAGACATGAGAAGTAGTCCTATCATTTTGATGTTGCCTAACAAGAAATTCTCCCAAAAAAATATTGAAACAGTATATCAGTTTTTCATGTTGGAGTTAAGAGTTCATCCAAGATATTCTTCATAGTGCAGGGCCAAATGAAATAATTAACAAATTTAGACAGAAATCATCAGTTTCCTATGATGCCATATGTTAAATCGTCAATTTATTTTTTTCGAATGGAAGAGGACACAGAAATGCCATATTTCTAGAATACCGATTCAGTCATTTGAGAGCTTCTTACTACCACACTTGGTATAATTGGCTGCCTCTTTTATGCCTACCACGTCATGCCATTGACAAGTAACCAAGATGAAAACCTCTGCCACAAAGTTAAAGAGCTCAAAAACTGATTACCAAATTCATTGGGCTGATTATAGCAAACACATTCACGTGAATATGATAAATATCCCAAAAGAACTACATGATATAGAATGAAACAAGAAGGTTAAATAATTCATTATTCTCTAATAAAAAAGAAGAGGTAGACGAAAGAGATAACAAATACATGACATTCACCTGCAAAGCTTGGGCACCATCATGCAGGTATAAAATTGCAGCAGGAAAGGCAAGAGCTTAACGTTGTTTCTAGGAAATGTAGCTTTTTGTCAGTCTTTACACTAAATAATGTCAGCTCCTCAAAAATTTTCACAAAGAATCTACCGTAGGTTCCGCAGTGCTCCTACTGATGCATAATATTTAGCCTTAATGATTCATTATATTAAGTAGAAATAGCACTGGGTCAGGAATAAATGCACCATTTAATACCTTAGCAGATTGGGCTAAAGAAGCCAATGCCCCTAATGCTTCTTGTTGGATCGTTTGTTTGCCATTCTGCATTTCAAGCAACAAAAAGCTGAGGAAAATATTATCAGTCTCCTGCACTTGTAGGTAGATTTGACATTCTGTTGAATCAGACGATTATGAGAATGACGAGAAAATGACATAACAAAGCAGCCCCAACAAAGCTGATGATCAATCTGTGCATCCAAATAAGTAATTGTTAATCATTTCAATCAAAAAGAATAACAACGAACCTCGCCTCTTAACTCTGCATAGTAAACAGACTGAAGTTGTTGGTTTTGTTAGCAAGTTCTTCATATGAAAATTCCACTGATTTATCTACTGCGATTCTTGGGGGCTCTAGAGAAGTACCCTAATTTGGAGGATCCCCTTCAAAGCTATTTTAATATCTCAGACTTGATAAGCTGAAAAAGATGTCACATGAGCAGTAAAATAGGGCTAACCTGTTGAGCTATTTTGCCACACTTAAAAAGATATTAGAAGAAACTCAAACGGTTTGATTTTGCAGTTTCATGTGTCAACAAAATTTTTGTCTATTTACTAAAATTGTAGAACAATCTAATGGCAAACCAACCATTAACCGATGAAATTGAAGACGATTCTTCTATTGGAGCAAAGGAAAGATGATACAGAGAACAAGGATAGACAGAGAGAAGATGAAGATGGTGACAGGTGTTGGGGAGGGTAAACATTGATTTACCAAGAAGGCCCTAAAAGAGGTTGATATTACAAATTCTGAAAGGTAAACTAAAGTGATAAAAGGCTAAACCAAGGGCAAAATGTCACCCCAAAAAGTAAATTCTGACACGCGTACATTTATGCACAACACTCCAAGATGTACAATTCAAACGGAATTCCGAAATTACCCTTTTGAACAGCAAGCAGGACGACGAAGAGGCCCTTAACTCTCGCTTCTAAATACTAGGAATATTATCTGTCGTAGTCTTAGAGTCATCTTACGTTTTGGCCGTGACATAAACAAAATCGAAGTGTATCCAGAAAATAAAGTACATTTCATCTTTTCTCATTTTAAATTATATCTGGTTGCCTCCACAATCTGTTCCATTTTAGGAGACCAGAGAAGATAAACGTTAAAATATTAAATTTAGTCATTTTGATTATTTTAATTGTTGTCTCGTCTTCAAGCATACTGAGTCTGATTTATAGATAACAATGAAAAATTCCCATATGGAGGAAAATATTCAAGCTAGCAGAAGACGAGTTACGAGACTAAGTTGATGACCGATGAGTAGTAGTATGTTTTTTGTCGAAAATATTTTACTTTTGAAAATTATTTTCTGAATCATTTATGTTTGATACTTACAAGGAGTGATATAAGGATATCAAAATGTTTGTTTGATAATTTTTTTATTGCTAAAAGTCGATAAAAATGTCCGTCTGTCGTTCATGGAAGAAAGTAATATGGAGTAAAAGTCGGAATATTATAAAAATGAAAATAAATTCCATCTATAAATAATGGAAGTCATTTTTGTCAATAAGGTGCAAAATATTATACTAACTCAAGTCTAATTGAGGAGTGCGGTTCAATGTAAAATACTTAAAAGTCCAAGATATTTATTTGGCGGGAAAGCAGCGAAATGGTGTTGTCTTATCAATTCACGAGTTGTAAAGTAGTTTAACGTTACACCACAATTAAACATAAACTGTCACAATTATTAGGACTAACAATAATTTGTTTGTCTTTTCTTTTGAATTTGTTGTGCACTAAGAAAAAAGATGATCCGTAATTTCATATAAAGGCATTGACTAATATGCCCATTAACTAGGCCATAAACTTCTCATTTCTTTCATTATTTTAAACTCTTAGATCGAGGACCCAAGAAGCAGTGGCGGATGTAATGTAGTACCACTAGGTTCAATTGAACTCATAACTTTTGATGAGGAGTAAAAATTTATGTGTAAAAATGTAACAGAATCTGAGCTCTGTTACTAAATTGAGAATAGAGAGAAGGGAAAGAGGAAGAGAGAAGAGAGAAGAGAGAGAGAACAAGAGGAATTGATAATTTCATATATGTGGAACTCCACGGTACAGACTCTGTGTATATAACAATAGTCTGACACCTGTCCCAATATTGATAACAGACATATGGACTTAATGGGAATAGATAAGCTAAACTAGGGGACCTAATTGACATAATGAAAACTACTCACTAAAATATAGCATAGACTAAAAATAAAATTAACAGAACTCTTGACAATCCATCCTCCTTCAGAACCTTGCCCTCAAGGTTCATCTTTAAAGTTAGGAAACTGAGACTTGATGAAATTGTAATCTTCCCAAGTAGCTTCTTCTGGTAACAAATTAGCCCATTGCACTAGTATCTGAGTAGCAGCTCGATTTCCTTTCCTCACCATTCTTTTGTCCAAAACAGCAACAGAGTCAACAAGAGGCTGTCCTTCAGGGGAGCAAATTGGAGGATCAACAGAGAGAACAACTTGCTTCCGAACCTTCTTCTTATGTTGAGATATGTGAAAAACAGGGTGTATTTTTGCTGTAGGAGGCAATTCTAGCTTGTAAGCCACAAGACCAATCTTCTTAATGATCTGATAAGGTCCATAGAATTTAGAAGCTAGCTTCAGACTCTTCCTCACAGCTACTGATGATTGCCTGTATGGCTGTAACTTTAGATATACCCAATCACCTTCTGCAAATTCTCTTTCAGTTCTTCATTTGTCAGCATAGAGCTTCATCCTGTTCTGAGCCTTTTCTAAGTTTTCCTTCAACACTTTGGCCATCACTTGTCTTTCTTTTAGGATTTGATCAATGGCAGCCACCTTAGTTTGAGCAATAAGTTCAAAAGACAGTTGTGGTGGATCATACCCATACATCACCTTAAAGGGAGTCATTTTTAAGGAGGAATGATAGTTACCGTTGTACCAAAACTCGGCTAAGGCAAGCCATTTACTCCACTCCTTGGGTCTATGATTTGTCATGCACATCAAATAGTTTTCAAGACATCTATTTACTCTCTCTGTCGGTCCATCAGTTTGAGGGTGATAGACAAAGCTGTACAAAAGCTGCACCAGTGGGATTCTGAACAATTCCTTCCAGAAGTTACTTACAAAGATCTTGTCTCTATCAGAGACAATGCTCTTGGGTAATCCATGTAACTTATAGATAGTATCCAAGAACATTCGGGCCACTTGAGAAGCTGTAAAAGGGTGAGACAAGGCAAGGAAATGTGCATACTTGCTGTATCTATCCACTATCACCAGAATAGTGTTGTGTCCTTCAGATGTTGATAGTCCTTCAATGAAGTTCATAGGTATGTGTTCCCATGCCTTTTCAGGAATAGGTAAAGGTTGAAGTAATCCGGGATAAGCAACTTGTTCATCCTTACATCTCTGGCATGTCTAACATTCTTGAATTAACATCTTCACATCTTCAATCATGGCTGGCCAATAAAAAATTGAATTCACTCTTTGATAGGTTTCCATTACTCCTGAATGACCACCTAATCCAGAACTGTGTATGGTGTTGATTAGTTAATGCCTGAGCTGACCATGTTTACCAATCCACACCCTTCCTTTATATCTCAATAGCCCCTGTTGTAAAGTGACATCCACATAGTCATTTGGGTTGGTACTAATAGTAGTTATAGCCTGAACTATTTCCTGATCATCCTTATAACTGGCTATCACTTCATCAAACCACTTAGGCTGTAATTCTGTCAATATAAGGCATTGTGAAGACTGTAATTCATTTCTCCTGGACAGAGCATCAGCCACCAAGTTTTCCACTCCCTTCTTATACTGGATTTCATAACTTAATCCCATTAGCTTAGTTAAACCTTTATGCTGTAGGGAAGTGGTGATTTTTTGTTCCTGCAAAAACTTCAAGCTAAAATGGTCAGTTTTGATTATGAAATGGTGTGGATGTAAGTAGTGCCTCCATCTGTCTACTGCTAATAAAAGAGCTATCAACTCTTTTTCATAAGTAGATAATCCTTCATGTCTTGCACTCAATACTTGGCTCATAAAAGCCAAAGGTCTTTTGTCTTGCATGAGGACAACACCCACTCCAGAGTTGCAGGCATCCACTTCCAATATAAATGGTTTGCTGAACTCAGGGAGGGCCAAAATAGGAGCATTTGTCATTGCCTGTTTGAGACTGTTAAAAGCTGCAGTAGCTTCAGGGTTCAACTAAAAACCTCCTTTCTTCAACAGGTTGGTCAAGGTCTTGCTAAGTAGAGCATAGTTCTTCACAAACTTCCTATAATATCCAGTTAATCCCAAAAAACCTCTCAACTCTTTCACAATAGAAGGTTGGGGCCAATCTAACATGGCAGATACTTTCTTCTGATCAGTGCTTACCCCATTTCCTAAAATGATGTGTCCTAAATACTCCACTTGCGGTTGAGGAAATTCACACTTGCTCTTTCTAGCAAACAACTGATTTCTTTTTAACAACTATAGATCCATTTCCAAGTGGCTCAAGTGATCTTTCAATATTTTGGCTGTATACTAGAATATCATCAAAGAAAACTAGTACATACTTTCTGAGCTGCTCCTTAAAGACTGCATTCATCAGGGATTGGAAGGTAGCTGGAGCATTTGTTAGTCCAAATGGCATAACTCTGAATTTCCACAAACCATGATGGGTTCTGAAAGCAGTTTTATGCTCATCACTAACCTTCATCCTCACTTGATGATATCTTGCCCTTAAATCTATTTTGAAAACACAGTAGCCCCATGCAATTCATCCAACATGTCATCTATCATAGGAATTGGATACTTATTCTTGACTGTCAAAGTGTTCAATCTCCCATAATCTACACAAAGCCTCCAAGTTGAATATTTCTTTTTAACTAACAAGGTAGGGGAAGCAAATGAAGACTGACTAGGGACCACGGTCTTGGCCTTCAACATGTCATTGATAATAGACTCTATGGCATTCTTTTGGTCATGAGAATACCTGTAAGGTCTTAAGTTGAATGGTTGAGCTCCTGGGAGATAGCATGATCACAATTCCTCTTAGGTGGGAGTTCTGTTGGCTCCTTGAACACCTCAGAAATGGTTGCTAGCAAGTTCTCCACGGCAGGCTCCACTCTTTCTGTTCCTTTGATTGTTGGACCAGAGCTCAACATTCTTACTTCAACCATTACCTCACAGGTGCCATAGTGCAGCATTCTTTCTAGGGTTTTGGTATCCACAGTTGACACACAAGGTTGATCATTAACTCCCACCCATTCTTCCATGTTTCATGAAGCTTATACTATGGGGCCTGGTATTAAGTATAACTGGAGCTACATGATCAATCCAATCCATCCCTAGAACCATATCACAACCTCCCACCTTGAGCAAGCTGATTTTGAAAATGAATTGCTCAACCTGCATTTTCCAGTTGAATAAGGGACTTTCTTTGTCACAAAACATTGTCTGTCCATTGGCTACTACCACCCTTAAAAGGGTTTTCATTGGTTGTACAGGAAGCTTCAGCAACTTAATAATGTGTAGATCAATGAAAGAGTGAGTTGAACCACTGTCTATCAATACAGTTACTGGAATCTTTTTGGCATACCCTAGCAACTTAATGGTGGAAGTTGCTCCTCCAGTAGTGCTCAACCCCATAACAACATTAATGGAAACTTCTGCTTGCTCCTCTGTTATTTCCTCTAATGTTTAAGGTACATCCACAAACTCCTCTACTTCAGGTTCTCCTTCTACTTCCACACCCTCCATAGCATGGAGAGTTTTTGGCTTGCTTGATGACCAGAGAAGTATTTTTCCTTACACTTATAACATAGTCCTTGTTCTCTGGGCTCTCCATGGTGTTTGGTTTGAGGGGACCTCTGCTTATGGTTGGGGTTTTCTGGTGAGGGTAGGTAATTCTTAAAGGTTGGGTAGGAGCTGGAAGTTGGGCTGGTCTGGTGCTTTGTGGGTTTTTTGGGTAAGTAAGGGCCAATGGTCTAGGGTGAAGGAAATTTTGGGTAGGTCTGTAAGGAATAAGAGTAGCAAAAGCAGCAAAGGATTCCTCATACAGCCTTGCTACCTCATATGCATCCATAATGGTAGTAGGATTAGCCAACTTCACTAAAGGTTTCAATTCTGGCCTCAGACCACTAATGAAACTGGCTACAAAGTGGGTTTCATTTAGTAAGGGGTTAATGATGGTCATGTAACTAGTGAGTTCCTCGAACTTTTCCTGGTATTGATCTACACTACCCAACTGTCTGATTTTGTTGAATTCGTCCACAATGTCTTGTGGTCGAATGTTTCCAAACCTCCTACAAACTTCAGAACAGAACTTCTTCCAAGATATTCTTCCCCTGTGGTTCACTAAATAACTATCCAGCCACACATCCACCTTATCTTTCACATGCATGGAAGCATAGCTTAGTTTCTCATGTTCAGGAATTTTATACAGTTCAAAAAAAATTTCACACTTTTTGAGCCAACCACGAGGGTTACAACCATCAAATTCTGGGAAATTCATTTTGGGTTTCAAGGTTTTCTGGGGAGAATCAAGGCTAGCAGCAGGAGCAGGATTAACAGGGGTAGGTAACAGGGGAGAAGAAGAAGGGTAAATCGGGTTCTGAAACAAAGGGGAACTGGTGAACAAAGGGGCTGGTGGAAAAATAAATCCCCTCCCAAACGGAAAAGTTGAAGGGGTGACCATAGCATGTGAAGTAGTTAGGGTTTTAGTACCTGACACTCATCATGTTCATAGATGGCCGGTACCGCATGAACAGAGGGTTGAGGGGTTTGTTGTGAAGAGTCAGCTGTTGGTGGTGTCAACTGCGATGGGGTACTGACAGTCACCGGAGATGGTGTAGACAGCCTCGACGGAGCTTGCATCGGTAGACCCATGTTTGCCATGATGAAATCCAACTTCTTACGCACCTCTTTGACCTCATCTAGCTATGATTGGAACTGATTTTGAGTGGATTCCAAGGATTCAAATCGCTTTCCGGTATCCTCCACAATTGATGAAAGCTGTAAACGCATCGCTTGCATTTTATTATGTAATCCTTGAAATTCCGATGTTTGAGACATACCAGTCGTAGCAGTGAGCTCAGGAGGCTCTGATACCATTGTAACAGCTGAGCTCTGTTACTAAATTGAGAATAGAGAGAAGGGAAAGAGGAAGAGAGAAGAGAGAGAGAGAGAACAAGAGGAAATGATAATTTCATATATGGTGGAACTCCACGGTACAGACTCTGTGTATATAATAATAGTCTGACATTGGATTCCTTGTACTAATTCTACGACTGACACCTGTCCCAATTCTGATAACAGACATATGGACTTAATGGGAATAGATAAGCTAAACTAGGGGACCTAATTGACATAATGTAAACTACTCACTAAAATATAGCATAGACTAAAATAAAATTAACAGAACTCTTGACAAAAAATTCCTTAAAATTACAAAAATAGCAGATATTAACCCATAACTTTAAAAATATAACGGGTTCAAATGCTAAAAACTTTAAAAGTTGAACTTATAACATTTAAATCCCTGATCTGCCTCTGGCAAGAGGAAAAACAAACTAGCTAAATGATCTCTCTTGTTTAGAGCCATTTTACATGCATTTCTTACATTCATGTACAGATGATTAATCTTGTTCTTTCTTATCACGATTAGTCAGGTTAATTAGGCTGATACATGCCTCACTCTTGTTCATTTAATTTAATTATCTATTAATAAAATATGGTACGCAAACCAATTTAGAGAAAAAGAGAAGGGCTTAGGCCCCGTTTGGCCATGAGTTTTGCCAAAATAAATTTGGGATTTATTTTCAAAACTCATGTTTGGCCATAAATTTTGCCCATATTTTGGCCAAATCCCAAATCTCAAATTTCAAATTCTAAAATCAGCTATTGAGCTGATTTTGGGCCAAAATCCCAAAACTTGGGAATTATATACATGTTTTTCCAAAATAAAGTTGGAAAATATGTTTTGAAAACGTATGTCCAAACACATTTTCATCTTCAAACCAAACTTCACCCAAAGCAAATTTCTTAAAATAAATTTGGGATCTATGACCAAACGCTAGCTAAGACTATGTCATTGTGAAAAGAGAACTGTGAGATTCAATCGACTACGTACGCTTGAAAATTATCCGCGAAAGGTTTTGCTTTTCATTTTGACTAGCTAACTTAATTACACCAAGATATTAAAAATTGATGCTTTGTCTGTGTACGGCAAAAAGGTGAGTAAAAAACACAATCATTTTCATGATTTTTATAGGTGTCATATTCCTGTTCATTTTGGCCGCAATTTTCTTGATTTGAACATGTTTTTCCTCAAGTGATGTACTGTCATCTAAAAAAGCCATGTATATAAAAAGAATCATACGAACGTGAAAAAAACCCAAGAAATATGTGAAATACAATGAGAAGAAAAAGTAACAAGGGGAGACGCAAGCAAAGACAGAAACACACTTTCGGAGTCATTTTACTACGTAATTCAAAGGCCTTTTCTTTGGACGGTCGAAAGAAAAAAGAAAACAATGAGAGTTTTGACTCTCTCGGTATGGTCGGTCCATGGTCAAACCAAATGATTTTAACCTTTATACTCGTACACTAATTAATATTTCGACACGTCTTACTCTTCATTAGTTATATAATAAATCATTGAATTTACAACTGGAAGCATTATACGCTAGAGGGTCAATACTTATCTTCTTTTTGTAAGACTTAAATTGCGCTTTCAAATCTTTTTGACATTAACGTTCTTGAATTGTATCTTAGAGGTTACATAGAAGTAAGCTGAAGTTGCTGCCTCCCGAAGTTTTCTTTCTATAATAAAATTTGATTGTGAGATAATTTATCCATGGTCATGGAATTTTTGTGTTTATTATCCAAAGTCATTTTTCTTTTTTTGTTACGTAAAAATTATTCAACTTTGTGTTCATTACACAAAAGTCACTTTTCTTTCTTTTGTTACACAAAAATAATTTTACTTTGCTCTAGTTATCACAAAAGTCATATTTTTAATTGAAAAGTCTATTATGCCCATATAAACCTTCATATTTATGTAATAACTTCTATATTATATACAATATAATATATTTTTAACGATGTATTTTGTTTATAAATAAAATAACTTAATATTATTTTATTTATTATTTTTATAATATATTTGTATATTTAATTTTTTCTTGACTTTAATTTTCAAGATATATTAGTAGCGTTATAAAATACTCAACTTTTTTTTTCAGCAAATTTTATTTTTTTGGATTTAATTGACCGACCAAAGTTGGATAAAATTAACTCATTTATTCTCATAGATATAAAACTATGTGTTAATACAATCATTCGCCAAATCCGAACTCGGATATATACTTGTTGAGTCCAAACGTTTCAACAGGAGATGCACTTCTAGTTTAAGCAATTCCAATAGGAGACGCACTTCCTAATATGAATCATTAAGGAGACGCACTTCCTAGTCCAAACCTTTCAACCAATCCTAGGAGATGCACTTCCTAGTTTGAGTTATTCCAATAGGAGACGCACTTCCTAATCTAAACCACCAAATCTTAGGAGATGCACTTCCTAGTACAAGTCTTGCAAAGGAGACGCACTTCCTAGTTTGAGCAATTCCAATAGGAGACGCACTTCCTAATCTGAACCACCAATCCTAGGAGACGCACTTCCTAGTCCAAACCTTTCAACCAATCCTAGGAGATGCACTTCCTATTTTGAGTTATTCCAATAGGAGACGCACTTCCTAATCTGAACTACCAGTCCTAGGAGACGCACTTCCTAGTCCAAGTCTTTTGACCTCATTCGTAGGAGACGCAATTCCTAGTTTGAGCCATTCCAATAGGAGACACACTTCCTAATATGAACCATTAATCCTAGAAGACGCACTTCCTAGTCCAAGCCCTTCAACCTCACTCGTAGGAGACACACTTCCTAGTTTGAATCATTCCATTAGGAGACGCACTTCCTAATCTGAACAACCAGTCCTAGGAGATGCACTTCCTAGTCCAAGTCTTTTGACCTCATTCGTAGGAGACGCAATTCCTAGTTTGAGCCATTCCAATAGGAGATGCACTTCCTAATATGAACCATTAATCCTAGGAGACGCACTTCCTAGTCCAAACCTTTCAACCTCATTCGTAGGAGACGCACTCCCTAGTTTGAGCCATTC